CAATGTCTTTTATCTCCAATAAATTGCATCTAAGTTAATGATTTTTTTTTCAAATGAATCTCTTTATCTATAAGAATTAGCAAAGTTAATAACACATAAAAAAGGTAGCAGTTCAATTCATAAAAGAAAAGAAATTTATGTAAAATTATCTAGTTTACAACACAGATAACCATAATTGATCGTTCTATAGTCTTTTTTCATTGATGCATTTTAACAAACACCTTGAATGCATTAACCAATCAACAAATTTAAACCTATATCATAGAATATTACAATAAATCTGAAACTAGAATAGCATTACATAATATTATCCCTAATTTTGTTATAAGAAACAGAAGAAATCAAAAATCAAAATCAAATTATCAGTTCATAGGATCAGAGGAAACGAGCAACAGAGTTTTCTGTAGTTTTCGAAATCAATCTTCGTTCTCTTTTGATTAACCGAATAAATCAACGACGATGGACTTTGGATCCAAATATAAAACCGAGATCTCAATCTGAGATGCTTTCGAAATTCCGATGGAGTCATGTCGGAGAATCTAGTGACGCCATGGATAAGCCGACAAATCAAGCTTTTGATGGCGATTTGTGTGGCGGAGCTTAGTTTTGAAGAGAGTGAACTATTAATCGTCTTCTTCCTGCGACACATATGATTTACCGAAGTGATGCTTCTCCATGTTCAACGATTGGAGTCATGACGGATGAAGACATCGTCTCCGGCGACCAAAGACAACGACGATGAAGAAGAAGATGAGCGAAGGGGCCGTCTTTGGAGGCGATATGACGGTAGGAGGTTTAATGAGATAGAGAGAGAGACGCACAGGTAATTCATCTCTAAAATGCCCCTGAGTCATTTAGTTATCATGCCCCCGTGTTGTTTTTTTACCATGTATTTACAAAAATGCCACAAATGATCCTAACCTTTTATTATTTTGATTTAACGGCCCTGGTTTGGTTCTCGGGTTCTCGGGAAACTTTGAGTTCTCAAATGATCATTCCTCTCTCTCTCTCTCTCTCTCTCTCTATATATATATATATATATATATATATATATATATATATATAGAGAGAGAGAGAGAGAGAGAGAGAGAGAGAGAGAGAAAGAAAGAAAGAAGGGTTCGTGTATGAACTTAAAATTTGATAGGAACAACGATGATTAATCTTGTCCTTTAATATGAAAAATTGAATGGCTATGGTTAATCTATTATTTTCCTTTTTCTTTTAAAGTCGAAATGGTAAATTTTATAATTAATTCGAAATATTTGAAAATTTTCAAAAAAAATGGTTAAATGCCGGGGGTTAAAAGCGTCAAAGTGAAAAATCCAGAAATGATCAGCATATTAGACGCACCTTCATACTAACACATACACTCCGTCAGCGACCTCCATCCATTAGTGACACATTTTGCTTTCTGAGTGGCTATACCTATTTATTTTTCCACCCACCTTGTTTTTTTTTTTTGAAAAAAACAAATTTTTTAAATTTAATTCTCTACAAAATGAGCACAATCATAAAAATTGATTTTTTTTTAATTTTTTATAATTATAAAAAAACCCGGAAAAAGAAAATTCTCCATACATTATAAAAATTTAAAGAATACTTCTACCCACTATTCTAATGACTTTGTAAAAAGAATTTTTAAACAATAACGCGTTTTAGATACCAAACTTGATTTTAAAAGATTAAATGTTTTTAAAAAAAATGTGGAACATAATATGATCCAAATAGAAATGACTCAAAGTATTTATGATTCAAAAATATTATGATTTAATATGTTTATGATCATTAACTTGTTATGATCAATGTTTTGGTTCAAATATTTTATGAACCATAATTATTATATCTTTTATGATTCAAAACTAAATGATTTAAAAAATATAATTATTCAAATGTTGTATTGAATAAAAACTTTAGTTAATTCAATATATTATGATCAAAAATCATATGATTCATAAATAATATGATCCAAATTACTATGATTCAAAATAATATGATTCAAAATTTTATGATTCAAAATGATATGATCCAAATTTTTATGATCCAAAAATGTATGATGCATAATATCGCTATGATTCGAAACTTTTTATAATGGTTAAACATCACAAACTCGAATCAATATTTAATTCAAAAAATAAAAATAAAAAAATAAAAAGGAAAAAAGAAACAAAAAAATTGAAAAACTTAAAAACCGAGTATATATTGATCAAAAAAAAGTTTAAAAAAAACAAATAAAAACAAAAAATAAAAGAGGGAGAGAGAGAGAGAGAGAGAGAGGAATGTTCAATTGAGGAAAAAAAAGGTTGAGAATGAGGGAACCATTCTCAGCCAATCATTTAATGTGCTTAAAACTAATATTCAAGTGGTGGCAAACTTGTAAATACTACAAAACAATTAGACCGTCCAGGGCACCTGTGTAATTTTATCCCACATCAAATCTTTTCAGGAAACCATCATTTCCTTTATCGAATATCATCGTTTCCCCATAACACGAACAAATCATTTGTAGAACGATTCATTCCTTCCATTTCAATCACTGTTTTCGAACAAAAACCCTAAAATCAGTCTCGCGAAGAACAAATCGCTGAAAATGTATTCCGATGTAAACCTAAATGAAACCATTTCGTCGCCGTTGACATTGAAAGGTAATCATCGGCGTTTTTTCTTCGATTTTCATTTATTTGTCATCATTTCTTAACTTATCCGTTGTTTACTTGAAATTTTCTAATCATCATTCATTATTAGTTGATTTATAACTAAAAGTTTTGTATTCACATTGTTCATTCTTCATACTAGTTGGTTTACTTGAAATTTAGTAATCCTCGTTAATTTTCGAAATCCTCGTTGATTATTAGTTGGTTTACTTGAAAATTTTGTAATACTTGTTCATTATTAGTTGATTTATAAATGATTTTACATTTTCTATTCATTTTTCTTACTTATCCAAGACTTTTCTGTTAATATATGAACGTTGCTCGCATTACGCTTATGTTGTCTTAATCGAGGTTTTACAGACTTTCTACTAATATTAACTACTTATCCTTACAGAAACAACACAAAGAGTCAAACATTTATATAAATGAAGAACAAAAACGAAGGAAAAAAGATAAAATAAAATTGGTATTCTATTTATATGTGACGAACCTTGTTCATATGTGATTGACAACATTTGGATGCAATTTTACTTAAAAATACAATAGAAAATGGAGATATTGAAGATGGATCACCAAAATCAAAAGAAAAACGTTCCAAGTCAAAACAAGATAAAAGTATGAATAAACGTTTACATTCACATATGAATAAATTTTGATATGCTTTGTTTACTTGTGAACACAAACAAAACTAAGTTATATATTTTATATTCACATATGAATATAACACAATTTAGTGTGATATATATTAATCACATATGAATAGAACAAGTTATATATGTTTTATTCACATATGAATATAACATAATATAATGTGAATATATCATAAATATAAGCTTAATACACAATTATTCATTTATGAATATAAAATAGTTTCTTTGTAAATATATATCAAATTCATTTATCTTCTACTTATTAATGGATAAAGGTTAGAAGAATGAAGTTTCTGATAAAGAGCCACCCACAATGAGAAAAACATGTTTGAAGCGGAAAAATGACAAAGGTATAAAATTCATATCATATTTGTTATATTCATCTATTAATAATTATATATGACTATTAGACATATGTTCTATCTACATATGAATACTTCAATCTGGATATGTGTTATATTAGTAAAAACTATTCAATGCCTATATTCATATATGAGTAACTATATATATATATATAGGGAAAAGTTCAATAGAGAACCATAATTATTGGTTCTTCAAGGAACTAAATCTTTTTTTTCAATTTCTAGAACTTATTCTTTATCGAAAAAAAATCTAAAAATATCTAAATTCATATATTAACATTGTGAATGTGAAAAATATTTTTTGGATTCACCGTGTGAATCCGGATTCACATTGTGAATTTGACGTAAAAAAATCGAATTTGATATCATTGGAAAAAGGATAAAAAGTTATGAATTTCTCTATTTTTATTTTTTTTCTTATAAAAAATAAGTTCTAAAAGTTGAAAAAAAAGATTGGTTCCTTGGTTAATTATGGTTCTCTATTGAACCTCACCCTATATATATATATATATATATATATATATATATATATATATATATATACACACACACACACACACATACGAATATTATATATATATATATATATCATATTTATATACGAATAACTTGTATATCCCTGTTATATTTTTGTACTATTCATATATGAATACTTACAAATTAATCAAGTATTATATGTTTTCATTTATTATAAAAAACAAACAAACACAGCAAAAAAAAACAAAGAATAAAAAAAATCCAACAAAAACAAAAACTCCCGAAAAGGGACAACTACAAGATTCAGATTTGTTTTTGAAAGTAGTCGTCCATACAAGAAGAAAAAGAAAAAGGATTCACCAAATAAGAAATAAAAGAAAAAACCCATGGTAAATGAATTTTATTCTATGAAAAATAGATGTTCACTAGAGTCGTTACTCGCTATCATCATTGGGCTGAGTAGACAACAAAAAGAATATGTATGATCTATGGGTTTTGGAAGTCTATTAAGAACGAAAATGACTGATATACCACTGAAGTTGGGATTTTATATTCTTCAAAAATTTGATTCTAAAATAATCTTAATAGATGTTGAACGCAAGGAACTGAAAGTAACAACACGGTTTGTTCTATTCATGAGATGTTGGGGATTCCAACTATTGGAACCATACTTACACAATAGGATCAATGACCTAAAGATGATACATGTTATGATGAATGAAAGCAATAGTTTCAAGGAGGAGAAATCATCAGACTGAATAGAATCAAAAAACTTATTGTCCGTACCACCGAAGCGAATTTTAATTTTCAAATTGAAATTCTTAGTTCTTTTTGTCAACACATTTTGTGCGTCAACATCAATGGGAAGATGCAACTTGTTCCCGATTGAGTTATATTTCAAGAAAAGTAGATATCAGCAACATAGACTGATGAGCTATGTTTTGGATTGTCCCGTTAGAACAAAGAACTCATACATACCTTACTTGGATACAAATTTTTTTATTGGACCTTCAACTTTATTGGTGGTAAGTTATTCATAAGTGAATATATTATACTGTTTATATTCACTTTTTAATAAGATTACTTATTCATAACTGGATAACATATATTCATATATGAATAAGTAAAAGACAGTATTACTTGCTCACATGTAATGCTTTGCATTACTTATTCATAAATGGATATAAATAAGTAATATTATATTCTGTAAAAATTCATTTATGAATATGAATTAATTATCATTTATCTGCAGTTGTTCTATGCTGATAAAATCCACTCTAAAGCTTTAATGGTACCACGTAAACGTCCACCAATCTGTTATTGGAGTTCAGAAAAGATAAGATATCGTGAGACATTTGAACAAGAAATAGGTAAATTTGGTCTTGGGGAATTAAATGAAGATATCGTTTATGAACAAGTTGAAGAAGATACTAATCAAGGAGATAGTGATTCCGATGAAGATGAAGATGAATATGTTGAGGTAATTATTTTGAATATGTTAATCATATATGATTATAATAATTTATTATATTAACTTCTAATTGTATTTCTTTTTATTACATAGGTATATAAATCGAAATTATTTAAAATGTTTGATACATTTGAGAGGATGAAGGAAAGACTGAATTCAAAACTCAGTGATGCAATTACAAAGTTTCCTAAAAAGGAAAGTTTCAGGAATTTGAAAGACAAGATCACAAATCTAGTTGTTGAAGATAAAAATGGAAGCATGGAAAATTTCCAAGCAATGAAACTGGACTTGAAGGTATTAATTTGACACCATTTATGGGTGAAAAAAGAAATGATGAAAAAGAGAATGAAGATAAAGGGGGTCAATGGTGAAGAAGACAATGATAATGATGGACCTGAACCTGAAGTAGATTATTTGCTTGATGGAAACGATGCGGAGAATGATGGAGAGACTAATAAAAAAGGAAGTGATGAAAAGAAAATGGAAGGGGAAACTGAAGGAACATATAATGATCGAGAGATCAACGAAAATGAGAATGATGAAGAAAAAAAACGATGAGGAGACTGAAAAACAAATAATGATGGATATACTAGTCGAAAAAATGAAACAAATCAAAATCTTTTGGATAAAGTTGTTGAAAACATTGTGGATAATGTGCTTGACATTGGATTTTCGAGTTTAAATAGTCAAGAAGATGAAATCTGGAATGACCTTGAAATGAAAACTATTTTTGGATAATATTGATATAGGTAAAAATTGACTTACTTTTTTATAAAAATATTAATACACAATAATAATTTTTTTTATTAAATTTTGACCAGGGTCACCAATGACTTGAAGTAAAACTAATACTCTGATCAGTCAAGTTATTCAAGGTATGTATTTGTTATTCATATTTGAATGAATATAAATGTTTTTACTATTAACTTATTATTTAATTACAAATAAAAAAATGTTATTATAGATTCAATAATTCATTAATTAAGTATACTTAATATATAACATGATATGGATCTTGCAGGAAATGGAAACTCAAAAGGTGTACATAAACAAAGAGGAGAAGTTGAGAAAAGAAAGTAAGATGATAGAGGTAAATGGATGATTCACTAATAAATGAATATATTACAATGCTTATATTGATTTTTTTAATAATATTTCTTATTCATAACTGAATAAGACAATATATGAATGAGTAAAAAAGATAGAATATTCATATAGGATGTATATCTTTCAGGCAAGGGAAAGTTTGAAGATAGAAATAAAGGAGGAGGAGAAGCTGAGAAGACAAAAGGAAATGATGGAGGTGGAGATAAACAAGGAGAAGTTGAAACTACTGACGCAAATAAAGATGAAGGTGGAGATAAATAAGGATGAGAAATTGAGAAAGGAAATGGAGATGATAGAGGTAAATGGATGATTCACTAATAAGTGAATATAATAAAATTGCTTATTCATAAGTAATGTAAGATAGTATATGAATAAGTAAAAAAGATAGTATTACTTGTTCATAAGTAATGATATGCATTACTTATTCAGAACGGAATATATTATAATGCTTACATTGATTTTTTGAATAACACACTTTTCATGTATGAATAAGTTACAGATAGAATTACTTGTTCATAAGTAATGCTATGCATTACTTATTCATAAGTGAATATATTAAAATATTTATATTGATTTATGAATAAGTAATGAAATATTTTGTATATAGATAAAATATTCATATATGATGTGTATCTTTCAGGTAAGGGAAAGTCTAAATATGGAAATAATGAAGGAGGAGAAGCTGAGAAGACAAAAAGGATATGATGGAGGTAACAATTTGGAAAAATATTTTGTATATAGATAAAATAGTCATAGTATATTAATATATTATGTAAATCTGTTGGCAGATAAAAAAATCAAAAAATGAAGATAATACTCATCCAAGCTTTAGTCTAGCCCTCAGTCAAGATTCAAATCAAACTTCAGATAAAAAATCAAATGAATCTTCACAAAAAAACACTTACAAAGAAACAAATCAAGGAAGACCATTACAGAGTTGTGATCGGTCATTAAAAAAAGTTCTTAATCCAAATCTAATCTCTATAGCAATTCCTACAGAAGGAGGACTATAAAAGCATGATATTGATGAATCAAGACTGAAGAAGCCTGCTGATGCTTTCAAATCACCTTAAAAATGCAGGATAATAGACACAAAACCTAAGCTGACACGTCACAGAGTATTGTCTATGAGTGGTTGTTCAACTTGCAAGGGCATACATCGTAAGTAACTTTATTTTGTAGACCTATTCGTATATGATTATTATATGAATAATAATATATGACATTTTGATTATATATTTGTAGAGATGTGGTTGTCTAGAAACTGATACCAAAATATCCAAAAGAGTCACATTATAACATATTATCAGAGTACGAATCCCAAAATCACTAAGTGCGGAAAAAAATAGAGTGATGAGGTGCGGTCAGGCCGGGACCTTCCCCTCCGAACTGAAAGTACCTAAAACAAAAACTGAAAATTGTAAGCACAAAGCTTAGTGAGTTCCCCCAACATACCACATACTAACAAATATACTGCCAGACATATCTGGGTGCTGGCCTACCCCTTCGGTCTATCTCAACCGGATACTGCAAAGCATATCTGGTGTAACACCCGGAATCATGAGGAGAAATTATTGGGAATAAGCCTATTTCGGGTTGTAGACGGTGTGTTCGAGGAATCAACATGACGTGTCTAGAATGGAAGAATCGCAGGGATTAAATGAACCAACATGGCGTGTTGAGGTGCCTCAACTCGGCGCGTTGGCAGTTGGGAAGGAAACCCTAATTTTTAGGGTGTTGCACCCTATTTAAAGGCCTTAAGTCCCTTTGGTTGGCCTCCTTATCAGCCTCCATTTTTGTCAAAACCCTAAATCGAGTTGTAGCCTCCATTGTCAAGCATTTGAGCCTTGGAAGAAATTTTGGTGTTCATTTTGTGCATTGTGAAGCAGTTAGGAGATCTTGAAGTTTCTAAGCTTAGAGAAGGAAGTCTTGGATCTATAACCACTACCCATTTTGCAAGGAGTTTGAGGTATCAAGTTTCTTATGTTGATGGCTAGATGCTTAGATCTCTCTTTTGGGTTAAATTGTTACGTTTTAGCCATGGATTGGATAGATGTTGGGATTAGGACGTCCCAAAGCCTTGTTCTTTCAGATCGGGGGTTCTCATGGACTCTTTTGGCATAAAGGTGCCAACTTTATGGATTTAAGGGCTTCATGCATTCATTAAGTCCCTTATTAATCACTTCTTGAGCATTTGAGCTTCTCTTAGGCATGCATGAATGTAAAGTTGGCAACTTTACGTGGTCTTCCAACTCTAGGGTGTCAGATCTTCATTTTGGGGCTTTTTCTTTGAAGATTAAGTGCTTAATGGTTAAGCCCTCACTATTTTAAGTCTAGGGTTTGGGTTTGGACCCATTTCGGTGGTTCCTAGGGGTAAAGTTGGAAACTTTACCCTTCTAGATCTCATTTTGGTCGAGATCTGAGCTTTGGAGCTCTTGGATTTGATGAAGGTAGCTTAATGTATCAATTTGTTGGGTCTTGGGTGAACTCAGCGAGTTTTGTTGGCCAACTCGGCGTGCTGGCTTGGTTTTCCCCGTTTCAAAGTTGATAGAAAAAGACGACGTGTTGAAGGGACAACACAGCATGTTGGGTCAACATGGATTGTTGATCTTGACTTTTTGACTTTTTTCTTTAAGGTAATCTGAATTGTACTAAGGAAATTATGGGCTTAGGATAAGGCCCATATGGGGTTGGGCCCAATTTGGAAAATTGGGCCATTAGTGGGGCCTTTGTGGATCTTTTGGTTTGGGCCTTTTTGGTTTTAAACTTGGGCCCCAGTTTTGACTCATGTTGGGTCAGAGGTAAAATGGTCATTTTACCCCCAAGTATGGATTATGGATCATAGTTGGAGCCCAATTATTAATTGGGTGTTTTTTTGGTATTGATAGCTCGGGGAGTCGTCAGGGCAACAACTAGGGATTTCTTTTAGTGAGCTTCAACATTCGAGGTGAGTTTCCTCACTATTTAGCTGGTCTAAGGCACCAAGGCCGACCCTCGTTTGGTTGTGTTGCTATACTTTTTGTCTGTGTGATACTTGTATATGTATGTCTATTGGGCGGGGCCCGTTATGTGAGTGTGGGCGGGGCCCGTATCTCATTATTATCTGAGTGTGGGTGGGGCTCGTATCTCATTATTATTTGAGTGTGGGCGGTGCCCGTATCTCATTATTATTCAAGTGTGGGCGGGGCCCGTTATTCAAGTGTGGTCGGGCCCGTATCTCACTGTTATCTGAGTGTGGGTGGGGCCCATATCTCATTATTATATGTTATGTATGGTATGTGGTATTTGGGGAACTCACTAAGATTTGTGCTTACAGTTTGTGGTTTTTGGTTTCAGGTACTTTTGTTTCGAAAGGGAAGGGACCGGCTTGATCGTAGCACGCACACCCGTGTTTTTCCGCATTATGAGATTTTGGGATTTAACTCTGATAATTACTTTATTTAGAAATGCTTTTAAATGTTTGGATCATGTTACATATGTGTTTTGATTATAATATAAATAAAATTTTCACCCTTGATTTTGGGATGTTACAAGCTGGTATCAGAGCCTTAGTTTGAGGGATTCGGGCATGCTCTCGGGTGTGCCTGAACTCAAACTAAGGGTTTGGTGAAATTTAATTAAAAAGGAATTTCTAATCAAAGAAGGGGTGTGATACGTGTATTCAGTCGAGCTCAAGTAACTGGTTCCCAAAATACCAATACATGTTTATTATGATATATGCTATGATTATGAGAAATGCATCCAAGATTAGGGCTAATGATCTGATTAGTATTTCATGATAATAGGGATGCCTTTATATGCCTGATTGTATGAGCCTTAGTATCGCATGCTAGTATGTATATCTAATAAGTGGATAGAATGGCTTGATTAGTGTATGTTGGTTAGATTTTCCGTTGCCTGAATGCTACTTGCTTTTTGCTTTGTGGGACTCTTAGTGATGCAAATTGACTGCTAAGTGAATGTGCTAAGTCGCATGTGGCACATGTTAAATAATCTTAGAGTGATTGATTTGACCCTGTTGCGCAGCTCTCATCTGAGTCCAACCGTTCTAGGGTTGAGTATTTTACTCAAAGGATTATATGATCTCTGTTGCATGTGACTATATTCATAAGGAAGCTAGTTGACATTGGTGGGAGTCTTTCAGCAGCTGAGGGCTGGTTGAGGTCGAGAACCTAAGAGAGTCTAGGATATGCTTCAGTGGGTTTAGTGATGCGGTTTACTGAGTTTTTGGTGCATCAGTTTGCGAAGGTGACTTAGAGGATTCGGGAAGATTCTTGAGGAAAGTATGGATAGGTGTGGAAGGTAGTATTGGGCCCGTACTGATGAAATCACAAGATCCATACTCGAATCGAGGAGAGTCTTGGAGAATCTAGGCAGCTTGTGGGGTGAGGATTCATGGTTATGTTTTGATCGTGGGTATGGTTGCTTTCAGAATGGTGATGGGAACGCAT